TGAAAAAAAATTTATTCTCAGGAGTATTTTCAAACATTTTTCCCTTTGCATATCAGATACTTTCCCAGGAATTATTGAATTATTAACTCAAATAACTAGAGTAGTTTAGATTTTAAAAATAGATTTAATTTTAATGGCATTGTATTGATCGCGGTCATTGAAGCACTGAATTGTGTTAAAGAGGATAAATGCTGAAACTAAGAGATTTTTTAGATAAAAACTCTAAAAAGGAATGTCTCATTCAAAATGCAACTCTGTCTCGTCAAAATACAACAGATTTTATAAAAAATAAAAATTGTTAATGAAGAAAACTTTTACTGTAAAAAACCTCAAACTAATTTAGATTAATATGCAAATCATACTCTGGAGATATTTTTTCTTGCCAGATTTTTTTTCTTATTTGGTTTTATACCTCATCACTTTCATGTATCTTATATGGTCTTTGCTGTGCTCTGAAGCTTTCCCTTATTTTATATATTTACATTGTTGCATCCATCTTTCACAAAACAATTCATTAAAGACTGTCACTTGTTTTAGCACTTACTAACTTTGACGATAAAAGAGCAATGCATATTTAAAACCTCTAATAAAGTAACTTGCTTTTCAAGGAAAAGCATTTACTCCCTCGACACCTTCATGCTTCAATTTTCAAACAATTTTTATTAAAAAAATGATATCTCCGAAATTCTCAAAAATAACTATAAACTATAGTAATAAGTTGACGTACAAAATGAAGCCACCAAATATAGCCTGTTGAAAAAAAAAAAAGAATTTGATATTTGTGGAATTGGTATGTTTATAGAAAATGATCTACATAAAATAATGAATGTCTCACAGTTTAGAAGAATTAAACTAACCTTTGTCAAATATTATTATTCTAATTTATTGAATGAATTCAAACAAATAAAAAGTAAGTATAGGAACCATTTTAAATTTTTCACCCCAAATATTTAAAAATACATAGTAATTTTGATTCGAATAATAACAGAGCTATTGTACTTTACACGCACATACACACAAACACACTTATGAACACTTATATGTTTGAAAAATCTTAAAATTTAACTTTAAAATTAAAAAAGTAAACATGGTATCTTTTTTAAATCAATTTTGTTTTAAAATGACAGTCCCATAATTTTCAGATCTTACTACTAATCATTATCTGTCTTTTACATAACTAAAGTGAGGCTAGATTTGATGTGTGTAGAATTTGTGACTGGTTACTTGAAACTGGATGGGCAACTTGCGACCGGTTACCAACAATTTTTAATACGAAAGACTTGGGTTAATATTGTTTCATCATACATTATTCAATTAATAAATTAACTAAAGCTACTAACCTTGGAGTACAAAAGAACTCATTGTAATTCGCTTCGTGGCAGTACAAAATCCTAAAAAAATTGTAGGAATGTTGATTCCGTTCTCCTTGGGTTTTTGGTAAATTCGTTTAAAATTATTGTACAAATACTACTGTGGTGGAAGAAATAATTTTTCTTTTTTTTCTTTTTTTTGTCTACTAGCTCATTTAAACAACAAACAAATAATACAAATTTGGAAGTTTGGTACAAACATTTTTTTTTCAAACTGCAACTCCTAGAACGCCTATTGCATAATTCCCCTTTTATTTTAATTCTGAATTGGAAATAAATGTACACAGTAAGGCATCCATAGAAACACACTACTATAAAGTTTATGTAAGTTTTGATCCAGAAATATATTTTTTCCAAGATATACGCTTTCAAAAATAAATCAACTTTTCTAAATATTTCAAGAACACATCATCTTTATAGAAAAAAATAATATTTATATTTAATACAGTAGAATCTATAATTTGTCACTTCATTACACAGGCACGTCCAGTAATTCGACGTTATTTTTTCGGCGTTTGTCTACTATTCTTGAAGAATAGTTTATACAGTTATAGTTTAGTTGAGATTATTATACATATACATAAAAACATTACAATATACATATATATATATATATATGCCTGCACAAATGTAATATGTATGTATATATGTACCAATCTCTTCGTTAATAAACAATTAAAAGTAACGTTTTTTTAATTTAATATTGTTTACATTATACATATTCAATTAATTCGACTTTTCCAGTACTCCAGCACTCTTAGGTTTTTAATGGTGCCGGATTAAAGAGATTTTACTGTAGTTACAAATACACATCAACAATTCTGCATTTCAATTAAAGCTGTTGTAGATTTTGGAAAAAATTTCATAGCGCATTTTCTTTTTGTTTTACTATAGAAAATATAGGCCCGTTGCATAACGCCACTGGCGCGTCCCTGTTTGGCATAATGAAGTTTGTAATTAATTAATTAAAATTCAAGAATTTGTACATTCAATGTAATTTAATTTTCCCTAAAAAGTTTTCTAATATCACCATTTTCATCTAGTTCAGCTAAATTCAAATTTTAATGTGCAGTCACCTTAGGTCATCTTCTGAATCATATTTACCTTCATATACCAATTCTTTGAAAAATAACATAAATTACCACTTTAATTTAAATTCAAATTTAAATTCTTTCTTAAAATCTTTCAGTTTTATTTTTGAATGACCATCACCGATGGATTCGAGTGTAATTAAATGTAGAATTTTCCGCTCTACTCAAATCCGAGGTCAAAACTAAGCGTTTCCTGTAATAAACTAAAGTTAACCTTGAAATGACTGAAAATCATGCCCAAGGTCAGAGCCAAGGTCACCATAACATGTCCCCTTCGGAGTCGAGCAACTTTTATTTGAAAATTTTTTTTGCTTTTTCCGAATCCGAGGTAAAAAATTGGGGTTCCTATTTAAAAAACCAAAGTTGACCTTGAAAATGACCTTCAAGGTCAGAGGCAATGTCACCATACATGTCCCCTTCCGAGTCCAGTAACTTTTGTCTGAAACATTTTTTGCTAAACTATCACTGCACTTACCTGTGCAGAAGAAATCCGGGTGGAGGGATTAAAATGGCCTACCCTGTATATTTTCTGTGTTTAATTTATATTTATATATTTGTTACTCTTTTTATATATCGCCCTCTCGCTCTCTTTCAGGTTTAGTTATTTCTATCTGTCAAACTATTAGTTAAAATTATCTTGAAATATTTTAGTTTCAATGCAAAACAAATAGAAAGTAAAATTGTTATACACAATTTACAATAAAATAAAAAAAACACCTAAAATATATGTGGGTAATATGTAACCATTAAGGCACATGTCATATCTTAATGTTATTGCTATTCAATGCCTACTGGCATAAAGTGACCTACTAATCTATAGGTACCATGAAAGCATTAATAATATCGCACTAAGTGAGAAAAACGTTTGATTAATAATTTTGTGGGAAAGAACTCCTTTGTGGGCTTCGTCCAGCATTAAATTACACCCAAATATCTATTGAATAATTAAGGTCAGGAGAATCACCAGGCAGACCAGTTTCAAACTTATTAGTTGTCACCGGCGAATGATTTAACTAATTGGATATCTATTTACCAACATGTTTTGAGTATGGATGTAACATAATCTATGGCCGCGTTCAGCCGAACATAGCGCAATAGCAGTATCTGCTAAGAAGTAGCATGTAGTGCTCTATCTGGCGCGGACAACCATCGACCACAATCTCATAGAACATAAACAGTATGGTTATCTGTGACTAGCTATTGTCCCATGATCATAAAAAATAAAATTTGTTAGCTATATATGCTATATCGTTTTAAATTTTAAAATCTTTTCAATCATCTGTATTTCTAACCTAACTTTCTTACTTAAACACTTTAAAACTGCTTAAATTTGACATCTAGCACTCTCTCCTCTCAAAATAGCGAAAATTAATTAAGCTACAAAACATGGCGACCGCTAGGTATAGCGCAACCTGTTAGCAAAAAATTGTGAACACAAAGCTATGTTAGCGCTAGCATAGCACTGCGTCTGGCTGAACATGGCCTATAAGATATTACATGTCGATAGCTTTCTGCCAAAGTATCACAAACAACATAACCTAAGATTTACAGGAAATGACATCACTTGTTTTCATGTTAATCTTAAACTAGGTTTGTTCTGAGGTTGTTTTTAGGGTTTTATTAGGGCACAAAATTCAAAAACATTAAGAATTTTCACCTGAAAGTAAGATTTTATGTTGTTTATAGCCTTACAAAACTTTGGCTGGATTGAATTTTACACAAAAAATAAGAAGAAAGAAAATTTCATTCCCCCTGAGAGTCCACTAAAACACAATCTATGCAGGGTGATTAACAACTTGTCCAAAAAAGTTTGGGAATAGATGCGGCATCAAAAATGGAGTTAACATCGTAAAAAAAAATTTTGTAAAATCCTTACAGTTACGAGAAAAAAATTATTGAAGTTATAGTATTTTCAATCATTACTTCGCTGGACAACTTTAGTCTCTAGCGTCATTCGTGTTGTGCACTTTACGCAATACGCGTGGCCGCAGCGACTCCGAATACTGAAATCTCTTTTTACAATTAGTATTAACGTCGTTGTGATAGTGTTTGCGATAGTTTTTCAGTAGTTAGTGTCAAAAATGGCTTATGTGTATAGCAATTCAAAGTTGATGGATATCGGAGTTAATTTAATCTATAGTGAGGCAAGACAACATTTGTTATGATGAAGCATTTGTGTTGTGGTGAAGCAATACATTTGTGTTAGTTCGTAGAAACTCGGTAAGACGGGCCCAAATGTGTTTACACAGTGGTGGATAAAATTTTGAACAGTTGTTGTATTTTATTCATTAAAACCATGAATTAATTTTATTAATTAATAATAACAGCAAAAGCAATTGAATTTGCTGATATAAAATAGGTGTTATAAAAATTCTATCTATTTCTTTCCCTGCGAAATTCTTTCAATTTTTTGTCCGTTAATTTTTTATTACACTTCGACGCCGTACCGATCGCTTCTGCAAGGTCAAATTTTACAGTGGACCAGTTTCCAGAGCCATGCAGAAGTGTATTTTTAAATCATTTTCCAACTGCCCTTTTTGATTCTTTTTTTTTACAAAATTGTATTTGTAAGCATCCTCTGTACATCCGAATTTTTTTTGGATAAATTCTGAATCACCTTTTATGTTTTCATAAACAATTAGTGTTTTGTAAAGAATCGAGTTAGTTTTATAGATTGGAATTGTTTTTTATTGTACCTGGGTAAATCAGTGTGGCAACATTGAATTATTTCTCTAGTCAGTTGGAAACAATTAATCTAGATAATTTTCAATAGTTTGGGGACTAATACCGAACATTTTTTATATTTTTTTATAAAATGAACTTACTAGTAGATACTAGACTGGAATACAATAACACTCTAAAAGTAACGTAAGTAGCAAAATTACTATCGCAAGCAACATCATGTGATTGTACATGCGATACGCTGCTGATAGGTTTGCTAAATAACGTGTCTTACGATGTGTTGGCGGAGCCTTAAATAAAATAAGTAGATTTACGCCTACAATAAAACCGTTTTTTTTTTTTCAATAAATTGTTTTCAAACACCTATGAGAGTTTGGCAAATCATCCATTTAGACCTGTTACAGATGACCAGAAGAGTTTAGTTTTGGCCAAAAATGTTACTTACAATACTTTGGCAAAAACTCATCGATATACTTTATAGGTTATATCTCACTCATACCCAAATGAATGGAACATGCAACCCACTCAGTAGTTGTATCATATTGATATTTTTAAAGACATAGGCGTAAACAGGGATGTATTTGTAAATTATACATCTTGGGCGAATAGGAGCGGCAGCCCAGTACTTGTTAGTAAACATAAAAAAAAATCCAAGCTGATAAATTAAAACTTGCATTTTTTTTTTCTATGAAAACCCAGAGGGATGGCTCTTCCGTTTAGACCTGGATCTAGCGAGGGCTATAGCCGAGATCGGGGGCCCCAGCAAGATCTAACAAAATTTCTATCTTGGTGCTGATTGTTTTTTTTTTAAGAATTAGGTTTTGGAATTTTATATCGGTAAGTCGCTGATTGTGTTTTTTAATCAGATTTTAAAATTTACCACCCCAGGCAATCGCCCCTAGGAAAATACGTTCCTGGGTGTAAAAGTTATGTTTTAAAAAGAGGCTGATCCCCCATATCTAAGACACAATTATTAGCAGGGTCTGTAAATTCTAAATGTAGGTATTACTAGCTATGTTAAATGTTTACTATCATCAAGCGTTCTTGAAATACGAAATAAAAACACATTTTTCCAAAATATTTAAAAGCTATATATCAAAAACGGTGTATTCCAAGACCAAGACTTATATAAACTTTTTTTTTTGCTTATTTTTATCAGAGGAATATTTCCCTAAAGTCTGTGCACTTCCTTATGGACAGCCTGTATATGAAAACTTTTAAGCATTTTAGGAGTTTGATTTTTTTAAAATTTTCAAGAATGCGAAGATTTTGTGAAATTTTGTCATGTTACCAAAAAAAAAAATAATAGTATCCATCTTCTCAACTATCTCTGAAGTCTTCTAACTCAAGTCATCAAGTAAGGCATTTCAATTCCATTGCTTGGCAAAAAAATTACATCTACAGCAAAAAAATGCTTACACCAACCTCATTCCTCTAACAAATCATCGTTCAAGCTGCATCGGAAACATAACCTAAGAGCTAAAATTCTGATGTCTTTTTCGTTTGAATACAAGAGCAAATATACTCCGTAATCTCCACCACTTGCTATGTCTGTGCGGCTTATGTTCGCTACCTGACAGACATATCTTCTCCCGTTCTTTCTTCCGAATCTCTCTGACCAGAGTATGAAAGGCATCATCGACGTATGTCCGCAAACAGGCAGATGTTTCATAGAAGGGACAACCGAACTGCCTGGCTAGAGACTTGCCCTCCTCCGTTGTAACTTTACGCTGCAGGTGGAGATCAAATTTGTTGCCTACTAGTACAAGGGGCGTGTCTTCAGATGCGCGCACTTTTTGAATAAGCTTTTTATACTCCAGTGCCTCCTGGAAACTGTGGCGGTCTGTAACACTGTAGCATATGAGGAAACCCTCTCCACAACGCATGTACTGGTCCCTCATTGCAGTGAATTCTACCTGAAAATTTAACAAAAAATTTTAAATATTTTTAACACAAATTAATAATTATAATTTATGAGTATTGCTGCTGTAGCCTGGGGCAATAATTAAGATAGGCTAAGTGTACAAAAAATGTAGGAACTAATTACTTTACTAATGTCACTGGGGCTAACACAGCTAAAATATTTACTAGGTACTTTATACCAGAAACTGATGGCAACGTTTTAGTTTTCTTGATTGAAATTTTCAAAAATATACACACTTTTAACAAAAAGGTCTTCTGCCTAGACTTTGGACAAAATAAAAAAAAAATTGCTTGCTTCATGATTCAAATTTTTCGATAGATAGTTGTTTTACATTTTTCGTTTTATAAATTTTAAAGATCCGTTGTGTTAACAAGAAAAACTCAATATCCAACTACCTACTATGCAAAAATAATAATTTAAAATATATTAATTTTGGGTCTGTCGGTGGTCGACCGGTTCGAGGCGTCAATACTTGTAAGACCGTAGATCAGTTATATTCAGTAGAGAGGAATTAGGTACCCTCTCTGCAGATATGATAGGGGGGAAGAAAGTTGGCTTGGGTCACTGAGAGATTGATACCGGTCCTTGTTTGACCACCTCTCATAATCAATGAGGTTTTCCAGGTTTCCCTCATCCCTGCAATGAATGGTGGATATTACCAACATAACTTGTTTCTAGGTGCATATGCAGTCTACTAAATAATAATATGCACAATCTCTTCCACACAAGTCTCCGACTTATGGGCTAATCCTTGCGGTTATAATGAGAGGTAAAGATATTATTATTACTATTATTATATAATCGCACTTATGAAAGTTAGTCTGAAGAGATAGTTTTGAGTTAATAATGTAGTAAATCTTGATAACAATTGAAAAAAACAGTATATCTTCCACTTGACGCGTATCTTTTTGTGGCGAAAATGCACTAAAAAGGAATCTAAAGTTTATGTTTTTATTTCTCAAGAGAGGAAGTTTATTGAAAGTTATATTGTGGCCTCACTTTCAATTCAACATTGATATAAAAAAACACATTTTTCTTTTACATTGTTTTAAAGAAAATTATTCAGTGAGGATATTCCATAAAATGATACTGAAATTTTTTTATTTGAAATAGTAAAATATGCATAATATGATAGGCAGCCAGAGTCACAATCACTTCTGTTGCACTTATGATTAAATTATGTTTTGAGAGAAAGAAATAACACATTATAGGGATTATGACAGATGGATCACTAAGTATCTGATAATAGGTAACTATTTTCAAAGGGAACAGGGACAAATCATCTGACATCGAAGCCAGGTACTATACGTTTGTGTGTTAATCAATATTCTTGACGCAAAACAAAGCATGCATTTTTATAACTTTAATAAAGTAGGCAAATTTATTATTGTTTATTATACTGGTCATACACTGGACGCTGAACAAATCACTAAACTGTTTAAATTTTAGCGTTACATAAAACAGCTGATCCATTTATCCTATTATTGTGTCAAGTAGAAAAGACCAGAACATAAATAAAATCTGATCAACTTGACCCCTAATATTCGGATTAATATGATCACAGTTTCCAAAAAACCCCTTAATGTAATAGAGAAATTAATTTTCATTAAAAATTATATTTTACACTTCTATTTAATTGGACTAATTTAAATATTTCCACAACTCGTAAGGCTTCTTTTTGATTAGCAACTCAATTTAAATAGACAGCTTTTTAAAACATACATTTCTAACTGTAAGACAAATTGAAAAGACTAACTAATGCTATAAGTATTGTGTTTTTTTGTTCATAACTAAATCTCCATTATGTATTTTAGCTATAGCTATCCTATCCGTTACTACTGTTACTCGCCTTATTATTGGAGACAACTTTCCAAACCATTGTGCTCTATCAAAATAAAAGCAAATACGGTGTTCCATTTAAAATAAATGAAAATGGCTTTGCTTCTACACTTTGTGGCATTTATTCAGTTATTTTAATGAGTCCAAAAGCTAATATAAGAAAAACAAATGTCAAATGAACCGCCACAAGAGGTGAAAGGGAGAAGAGCATGCTCTTACGTTTCACATCAGTTACAATAGAAGAAGTGTGTGGTATATAGGTACTGGACAGTACAGTGATTGCAACATATAATTTGAATTTTATACAGGAGTATTTAAATTTTCATGCCAATGATTTTTAATGTTCGAAAACTTAAATAAAAAACCCAAATGTAGTTCTAAATTTTATGTAACAACTTTTTTATTGTTATAATGTAATGTGCAAGAATGTGGGTCAACTTTGTATACAGCCTTAGAAATTATTTGCTACATGTGCTTTCTACATTACAACAAATTATTTAAAAATATACATGCATAATGTACCTGTCCGGCAGTATCCAAAATATCTAATAATGCAGGTTCACCATCAATAACAGCCTGTTGTTGATAGGAATCCTCTGCAAAGTAAGTAAAGTAAATAGTAAACTGCAGAACTTACACATTTTCATTTATATTTACCGATGGTAGGGTCGTGATATTCTAAAAAACTATGACTAACGAACTGTAAAGTAACAGCTGAAAACAAAACTTTTATAAGTTGAAAGACCTAACATTTTCTGAACATCATACCCGATTTACCCACACCACCATCGCCTAACACAACTATTTTATAAACTCTAATACCACTCCTCGTTTTGTCTTGGGTGGTACTAGCCCCAGCAATAGGTCTGTCAACATCTATTTCTGACCCCTTTCCTGACCTACTGGACTCCTGTCTGGATAGTTTGCCCTTTTTCTTATGGCTGGCCTCCCCCGCCATTCCAAACAAGCACTTGAAACTTTTAATATTTGAAAATTACGGCTTATCAATTAACGAATTAAATTTAAAGCCAAATATTGACATTTGCCACTCCTGAGACTTCTTCACCGATGACATTTGTGAATTTGACATTTACATACTTACGACAGCGCCATCTATTGAACTAATTTTCCAAGCCAAATAAAGTAAAGTTTGCTCATTGGCCGTGCTCAACCAAGAAACCTTGGTGCTCAACTAATAGTTTGTTCTAATACACTATTTGTTTGCGCGATAATATTGCTTCTCCAGTCATTATTGGAAAAACAATACGAAACTTTTGAATTCCCACCTTTTCAAATGGCAGTTATAAGAAGTTTTCTTTTGCTCTCAGCTTTGAATCATGATCAGACAAATACGAACTAGATCCGTGAATCCAATTTCGAAGAGAACAGGATTTTGTTTACTATTGACATTTGATTTGATTTTAAATATATCGTTTAGGCATTGTTGTATTGTATTTAAACAATGGTTTAGGTATACTTGTACAATTAAGATAAAAATAGTAACTGCATTCTCAGAGAAAAAAGAAACCACTACAATTATAAGGAATATATTAAATATGTGATCATGATCAAAAGTTCGAATCACAGCAAAAGTTTGATTCATAGGGGAAAGGGGAATACCGATCCTGATTGATCCGGAAACAAGAAAACAACTACGAACATGATTTTGGGATCATAACGCGTTTAGATCCGAAAATGGCTCCCGAAAGAAAGCACCTATAGGTACACATTTTTAATGGAATTGAAAATTTATGTCTCCTACACTTTAAATTATTTTTATAAAGTCTTTGTAGATCACAAATTCGTCGTCTGCCTCATGGGTCATCTTCATTAGAAAATAATTCAAAGTATAATAATTGTCTAACATTGTTAATTTAATCTTACTTTCGAAAAATGTTACACATAAATTTTATTAAATTAATTTTAACTTCAGGTGGCAGTACGGAGCGACAGAAAAATAGGGTAAAAATCGAAGGGAGTACAAGTACAGCTAAATGATTGGTCGAATTAAGTGTAGCGCGCCACAGCCGAAGTTCTGTGAATTCCGCATAATATGCAAGTCGTTCAAGTGCGCCATACGCGATGCGCAAATGTCAGTGTCAGCATTGTCAGCTGACTAACCAAGGAAATAAAACAAAAAACAATACATTTATCATTTATGTTTACATCACATACATTATTGGTATGCGCTAAATAGATGTGATACTGATAAGACTGTTTCGTGAGATTATAAATGATTCATTGTTGTAGTAATTTATCAATAAATTATAATAGTTTAGGAAATGGCTTCCAAAACATCCGTTGAAGAAGATTTTGTAAGTATTTTTACAAACAAGTAGTATTACTAGTATTGTACCTCCATAAAATTTAATCGTTTTTTTACAGGTCTTTAAACCTCCGCCACCGCCAAATTTAACTAAAGAGCACATCGTAATATGGACAGGCTGGCATTGCAAAGGAGACAAAGAAGTTTCTAGGGAAGCAGCTGCGAAAGGAATTGATATAAAACTAGTTGTATTATTTTTATCTCTTAGGAAAAAGCTATCACTGGAAGAAGCAGAGTCCTTTTTTAGGAAAGAAGTAAGTACTGTAGATGGCAGAATGCTTTTGGCATGGGTCCTATACATTTCTGTTATTTACAGTTTTAATGGTACATACTGCAGTGAACAATTAGTATCAAATTTAATATCAGTGTATAATTATTTTTCCATTTCACTTCTGTAGCAAATGAAAACAAACGATTACCATATATTGCCCTTCTAAAAGTACACTTTGGTATGTTTTAGGTTTTTCTGTGGGTAAGCGAACTTTTAGACAGAAAACAGATATTCAGGGTATCACATGTATTGAAAAACATCAGACTAGATCCTGACAAAGAATTATTAAATGTGTTTTTCACTACTACAAAAAAAGATCTGAGAGAGTATATAGGAAATCATCTAAAGAAACTCAATGAGCTTACTGAAGACATACAGCAATTGTGGTATTTTTTAAATCTAATTTTAGATAATAATGTCTTGATTTCAAAATATAAATTGTTGGAAGATAGCATCGATTGTTTGAATAAGCAAAGTATCGAATGGAAGCAAGAAATAGCTGCAAAGTTATTCTTAAGAACACAGAGTAAGTCAAGCTCCTTGTCGAATATTCATGATTCTTTTGATATTATATTACAGATACAACATTATTACCTTATCTAAAGGGTGATACTTTGTGGAAACAGTTGTTGATATACAACGATATAAAACTATTAAAAATCTGGATTAATGTACAATATAATGAAGAAACTTCCAGTTACAACACATATGAGAGTTTTCTAAAAATTTTCAACTCTTTTCCTATTACTAATGACATGATAAATCAAGTGACTGTAGCTGAGGTATCAACCAATACTTCCCAAGTAGTGGTGAATGAGCTTAGCAAATTTGGGATTTTTAGCTACAGCGACATTAATAACGTTTTAAATGTCTTGCGTAGAATTGATGTATCTGACAATATAGAAAACATTTATCATATTTTGAATAGGAAACACTCCAATATATCAGTGGATAAGTTTCTGCAATTACTGATCGAATATTGTTTAGAGCATAAGTTACATCATGTGTTAAATATTTGCGTTCAAAATGTTGATTTAAGTGATTTAAGGGCAGCTGTAAATTCCTCACATCTGAATTTGATATGGAATTTTAAGCAGTTGATAAACAACATCAGTGAGCCAAAGCTATGTGATAATATTTTTAAAGTGTCTAGTTTTTTATGTGATGATCTTATTTACTTTTTTAAAGAAAACCCGATGATTCTATTAGCTTTAATGTTTTTTACCAAACACATAGACTTTTCAAATGTTTTAACCGAAAAATCTTTAGTTATTTTAGACAATGAATTATTTACAGCTCTGTCAAAATTACTGGAGGATTTTAAGGTCCTCTGGGCTCTCTACAATAAAATTACTTTACCGAAACAGTGTAAATTGACATATTATGACTTGCTAGAGAAACACTTATGTATCGATGTAAAGAAAATATATTCTTTCCAGTTTGGACAAGATTCTGTACCACATTTTAACAAAAAAGAATTGGTTCAGCCTTATGGATATTCTAAACAGATACGTTATTTACTTCACATTAAAGAATTACGACCCAGTATAGCTTGTAAATTGTTTCTGTTAGAGCAGTTTAGTTTTTGTGGTAATGTTAATGAAGAAAATTTAAAATTAGCACAGAAAAAGATTTACAAAGTAGCTGTGAGGAACTTTTATTGCCTTGATATCACTGCTAGTTGTATTGCTTTTCTGGAAATGATCGGAGTGAATGCAGAATCTTTAAAAGTTATCATTAAATCTGCAAATATATTAAGTGCCTTTGGTTATCTCAACGAATTTCTAGTTGACTTGTTTATAAATATAGAAGACGATCCATATGCCATTTTAAATCTATTGGAGAAAAAAATTATCAATACTATAGACTTCGAAGATATATCAAACCCTCGATCATTCATAGAGGCACTTACATTCTATGACACAGTGATTAGGTTTGCCATTCATTATAATTTAAAACTTCCAGAACTTTTTCTCAAACAATGTGCTAACCATAATATGTGGTTGCCGTTTTTAATCTTGGCTCAGATTAGGAATTATCCTATCGAACAGATCAAAGCCATTCTGCAATCGTTAAAAAATCCAAATTTGCTGGAGCACATCAACCACAGTGTTGTCCACGATATTCAAGTGGACGAACGCAACATATTAATGCGTGAACGTGACTCAAGGACATCATTTTTTTCACGAATTGGGGTTCATAAGAGTGTCGACAGTTTGGCCCAAAGTGAGTCGATACATTCCAGTGTTACTTCACAGACAAGTGGTGAAAGTAATTCTAGCTCAGTGGGTTCCGATTCTCTAGAGATTGACATCTTGAACACAAAAACAACTCTCGCTCAAACACTAATCAGATGTCATAATAGTACAGATCCACCTAGGGCATTATTGCAGGCTTGCCAGCTTTATAGAAATCCACTGCTAGCAATATTAGCAACAAGTTATGAGGTATGTTAATTGTTGATGTTCGTAATTTTTTTTTTGATTTATACAGGGCGTAACTTTGAAAAGTATGATTATCATAAATTTGTTTTCGTTTATCCACTGTTGTCAAAAAGTTTGTTTTCTTTTGTTTGTTTATTGTCAAGTCTCGTCTTTGTTGATTCGTATACATACTTTTTTTATAATATCACACAGAAATTTGAGAATGTAAACACAGTACAGAAAAACTAGTACTTCATACAGAAAATCATGAAATTACCTATGGTATTACAAGCACCTCATAAATTGATAAATTGAAAATTAAAATAAATGTAATAAAATGATACATATTTAGCATTTCTTGCTTAAAGCTGTTTTACATTGACAATTTATTGATCAATTAATTCATGAAGTCGCTTCATCAAGAAACTGGACAAATGTAATGCACCAAATCTGCTGTCAAATAACTTCATGAATTTACTCGTCAAGTTCTTGACGAATTAGAGCATGTTCTAATTTTTGTAAATTTCTTCTTGAAGTTCGGAAGTACCAACCCAAAAGATTTCCAGCCTCAGATCAGTAATGAGGTTATGTTATTAGAATATGTAAATAATTGTGTGGCGTCGTGCTAGTTTTGCATTGTTTTTACTGATTTGTTACTTACAAAAACTAATATTTATATAATATGTGTCAGAACGGTACCGCTGTTGTATCACTATAATTATGAGTGGAAAGGTGACATTTTTGAAATTGATTTGCTTTGATTCATTGGTAGAACTGATCCATACGTCAAAAAACTTGGCAAAGTCTGTAGCTGTGTAAAATCATACTGTTTACCAATAAATTCGTGAATTAATTCAAGAAGAACTTTGTCAATTTATTCATGAATAAGTTGTCAATGTAAAATAGCTATTAGAGTAGATCAATGTCAAGTAGGTATTGGCAATTATTTTTACAAACTAAATAGTGCTTTAAAAAAAACTAGTGACAAATACTTTTTATTAAACATTTGAAGTCTTCAAAAAAAGTATATCAAATCTGTCAGATTAGTATTTTTTAATCTATAAAACAACAAAAATAATTATTTCAATACATAAATTAGTTTTACCAACAATTAGTAATATGTGCCTATTCTCATATACCAATATGAGTTAATATTTAATAAATCATAATTTTTGTGACGTTCGGTGTTCTGTCTTAATTAACTTTAAAATATATGGTGACAATATGTCTTTGCAAAATTATTTTCACTTGCAATGTTACTTTCTGTTACTCTGTTAAACCCGTATCAGACAATACAATCCGTGAAATTTTCCTTATCAGACTATACATTTCTGTGGCGGCAACTGAATTACATGAATTAGCTTCTAGTTACTTTTATGGAGATTTGTATATTACCAACCTAGCTGTTGTTGGCTGTTGGTTATGGCTATGATTAGTAACACCGTTGAAGCCACTATTAAAACTATACAACAATTTACTTTTAAATTTTCATTCATTGCAATGTTTTGCTTGAATCAAAAATAATTATTTACAAGATACTTACAAGTAATTTTACATGTTAAACAAAGCACAGTTGGTAACACTACTCCAAACTAAACAAATTGAAGTAATTCTGTCCCATTGTGTGATAATAATAGTCTAAGCATTCTGTCACGGATTAATGTTAAATTTGCAGAAATTATTGCCTGGACAAAAAGTATGTTTTTTTCAAATAACTATTTCAATTTTTATTATTTTTTTGTACTTAATCTGGGGTAGCTAAACACGAATATTATAGCATTTTCGCCTTAGAAGCAAAATAGACAGGTAAATGTTTAGTTTTCTTTCTTTAAAAGTCATTTTCATAAAATCAAAATTGAAATAGTAATTTGAAAAAAACATACCCAAAAAAGTGCAACTTATTCAGTCATTTCTTGATCCTTAAAATTAATAAAATCGTCAACATTTTTTAACAGCATGATAATATAACTCTTTACGAAGAAAATAAACCGAAAATCGTTACTGTAGGGCTATCCGCTGAGAAGATCTAGCCAATTTTCGAGAACGCCTTTTTTTTTAAAAATCGATATATCGAAAAATAATTAATATTTTTAAATTTTTCAAAAATGTACTCTTTTGGCTTGCCGCGGGCTATGCTTGCAGTAAATAGCAAATATGGGCACGTAAATGTAAACAAGTTATAGAAGAAGAGAAAAGAGAAGATTTTTAACGGTTTTTTCGATATATCTCGAAAAGTAACAAAGCAATCCATACTTTCAAAAAATCAGTCGATAGATCTGTTTAAAACCTACAACTTTCTCATTTAAAATTTTTCAATCTGTGCTATATTTTTTTAATTATTTTAGAAAAACCGTTTTTTTTCAACTTTGCGATTTTTTTTAACCATGTTCGCCATATTGGATCGAGTTTAAAGAACAAGAAACTCAATTTAAAATTTAATTTTCTATACGGTCATATTTTTTTTGTCCAGGTAATAATTTCTGTAAGCATTTCTCTATAATGCTTGGACTATAAGCATACAATTTTATCCCCGTAACAAAATCTTTGCTATTTTGTCGCCGAAACTAAATTGCATTGTCTTATACAAGCTTTAGTTTCATACAGTTTGTTTAAAATGATAACTCTGGTAAACATGTCCATACACAAGAGTTTAAATGAAGTTTAAAAAATAAATTATTTTTTGCATCCATTCTTGGTGGATATTGGTAGATTTATCTGTACCGCACATGCAGCTTGTGTCTGTTTTTATGTCTCTTTGTGCCTTGTGAATTTACAGGGTTCGTAGCGGCTGGGAATACCGGGAAAAGTCAGGGAATTTGTTATTCTTCATAAAAAAACAGGGAATAGTTAAGGAATTTTAAAAATATTCGTGAAAGTCAGAGAATTTGATGTTTGCAACTGGAAATTTTGTGGAAGGCGGCCCTGGGTTCTTGAAAGAGAAAACTATTTGTAGTTTTGAAACCTTTATAAGAGGTTGTTAAGGTATAAAAAATATTATGGAGTCCAGTTGATAAAAAATTTAATGCATAAACACCAATTCGTATGTAAAAATGAACTACAAGTGACCTGTATTTTTTTTTTTATGTCAGGGAAAACCTGGAAAAGTCAGGGAATTCTCGATTACTTTTGAACTATGAACCCTGATTTATGCAGAACAGAAGATTACCCGTATATTGAAAATGCACCATGCAAAGAGTATTTTTCACTCTGCTTAAATGGAAAATCTAGCTAGCTATATTGTAGTTGTTTTAACTACCTTGCCCGCAAACTTTTTGTTTGCAGAATATTTGGAACATTTTATGGTCGTTTTGACCATTTTAGTAAAGCATAATAATTGTTTTGGCTTATTTTGTCTGCATTCCATGAAATGTAGAGAGCGGAAAATCTAGTTAGTCATATTTTAGTTGATCTAACTACCTTGTCTGCAAACTCTTTGTTTGCAGATTGTTTGGAGAAGTGTACGGTCGTTTTGACCATCTTAATAAGGCATAATTGTTTTGGCTTATTTTGTCCGCATTCCATGAAACATGTAGAGAACGAAAAGTCTAGCTAGCCATATTTTAGTTGTGTTCTAAGTACCTTACCTGCAAACTCTGTAGATTGTTTGGAACATTGTACAGTCATTTTGACCATCTTAATAAGGAGTAATTGTTGCTTATTTTGTATCCATTCGATGGTACATGTAGAGAGTGGTTTTAAGTCCACGTAAATGGGAAATCTAGCCAGCCATTTTGTAATTATTTTTACTACTTTGCCTGTGAATTCTTTGTTTGCAATCATTTGGGGCAGTATATGGTCACTTTGACTGACTTAATAAAGCATATTTTTTGGTCATATTCCACGGAACATGTAGAGAGTGGTTTTAACTTTTCTTTCGTGTAAAGTTTAACCAACATTTAGCTCATTTTGGAAGTTTGTGCATAATTGTACCTACTGGCATCCCCCCGCCCCTCCTCTTGCATACCATGCTATACGTGCAAAGTGGGTTTTTCATTTTACCTGCGTTTTTAACGGCTTTGCTTATATTGCCAAATTTAAATATTTGATAAAATTACGTTTTTCAGAGACAGTGATCAATGGGAAAATATAATTGTACTTATCAACAATTTTGATGCAATTCTTTGAAATAGATTGGAGTTACTTTAACCCCCTTTTTTAAACACCCTCTGCTCTTAAAAATACTTATATAAGTATTCACCAGTGTCTCAAAAAACAAGACTAAAATTCACCTACTCCTAAATATTCCACGATTTGGAATCTTAATCTGGTTATATTTCTTCTTTTGTTAAAAAAAATATATGTGGACAATAAAAATTTCAGGAAGCATCTAAACTTATTCCTTACATTTTTTATTCTCATGTGAGCAGATGGAGTTCAAACAGTTTGGAATTAATATTCCATAATATATAATATTCCATAATATTTGGAATTAATATTCCAAACTGTTTTTACTAATGTAAAAACAGTATAAAAGTGGTGACTAGTGGTCAGTAAAGATCATAAATCTCGAGCTCTAATAAATATAGTCATTTTCTGATGTTACTTTATTTTAAGGTTAGTCAAAAATATGTATTGTTATAACACTTCAAAATGAAAAAACAAACAACCTATACGTCTTCAAACCTGGTTTAAATTTAGATCAAATGCGAAAACAAAAAGACTAAGAACTAAGAAGACTAAACTAATACAAGTAATCTTTCTGATTGTCTAAGTTTCATAAATTGCCTATAGATATTTCTTTTTATTTCACTTAAGTATATATTTTTTAATGATCAAATAACACATATTTTGGAAACTTTTTCATTGCACTTAATCATGTTGATTATTTACTCTAAACATCTACCAATACCTATCACAGAAGCACGAACTTGCAGAATATAATTGTAAGATTCAATCAACTTAGCTCTAAGGCAGGTCAATCTTATTTATTTGAGCATAGTAGTTCTATGGTAGAGCTCTCCCATCACCTTTTTTTACATGCAGCGTGATGGGTTCTGTCACAAAATGAACTGGGTGGCTATTAAAAAAGGAGTAATGGTTACTTCCTAAATATAGTATTTCTTTAAATGGTTGTGCGTGTGAAGTTCTATCTACCATAGAAAACCTACTATGCTCAAATAATTAAGATTGACCTTCCTTATAAGTAAGTCGATCGATTCTTACAATTATAACTCAACTATTCATACGATTAAAAAAATATGTACCTATATATAATTTCAGATTAGTATTTTGAGGAACATGTGCTATTACCATTAAAAAACTAACCCCTTCCTAAAGTTACACCTGTACATAAAATGTTACAGGAAATTAAGTCAAGTTCTTCACCACAGATTTTTTGGATGAAAATAACAGGATTTTTTAGTTTTCATTTATTTGCCTCTTTAAAGTACAGGGAATCAAAATTAAAATTAAATACTGTTTGATGTGTCATAAAGTTTTAACCAGGTGCAATTCCAATATAATTTGTTATTGTCTGTAGTTATTTATTTATGATGGCAACTTTTTTATTTCTGCTACATTGAAAACACAAACAAATTTTAAATAACCCTTTTTTGGTGCAACGAATTATTTATTTAAATTTTTTTTTATAGTTCCACAGAAATACTCTAGTAAATAAAAAATAAATAATCCTAAGCCTTAATTTACAAAAAAATTATATATTTCAATTAACAAGAAAAATTGTACATGAAATTGGTTAAAATGTTTGAAGTATTTTTATTTGTGTCATTTTATTTATTTATTTTTTCTTCAATTGGCTATTCCTGTCATGAAAACAAAAATAAATTTTAAATAAAAAATAACCCTTGCGAGAAGCATTGGCATTATTTTTTGTAAACAGCATATTTTAATATATTTTAGCCTGATTCAATGGTTACCAACTGGCTGACATGGTTAGCAGTCTCCACGGAATTATACCATCCATTTACCAACTTTGAATCCATGTCTAGTTCTTCATCCTTGGTTGCAGAACTGCTAGATAATAGTATGAAACATCATTATTCTGCAATCCTGCTTCAAAGTCTCTCAGTTTTTCTTCCAGTAAGTTGCACCTAAAATTTGAATTAGTGACACAAAAAAGAATGCTATAAATAAATATTAAGAAACTTCATTTTATAGTTTTGAACACAATTCAGGTTTTTTTTTGTTTAAGTATGACTGAAGACGTTCGTTATACAGGGATAAAACTTGAACTAATAATTTATTTTTATTTTGACCACGTGAATCCAAACGTAATGTTTAACCAATTATTCCTAAAACATCCTATGAAAGTATTAATTTCTTTTGTATTGTTTATTTATTGTTTAAAAGCATTTAATGTCGCTTTAGTCTAATTTATTATTAGTTAACTTTTTGTATCAGGATGATATATCAGAACTTATTTTTACAATTTCAGCACAACCCATTACGCCATTTTACAGACTTCTTAAATACTTGTATAAACTTAGACTTCAACACTGCTCTTTTAAAGTCAAAACTAGAAATTTTTAAAGAATCTCTAAAGAAATGTAGGCGATATAGCATGATTTCCAAAAGTGACCATGAAATGACTTATTTAAACAATAGGAGTTGGATTGAGAGCACTTCATTGCTTTTGCTGTCATCGGCAATAGAATTCAATGTTACATCTTTGTATGAACAAATACAATTTGTTCAGTGCCTATGTGCAGTTGGATTAGAGCAATATATTAATTGCCCAAACATTGAAAGTTTGTTAGACATCTTAACATACCTTTGCCATTCAAAATGTGGCATAAGAATTGATGTTAGGTTGTATTTAGATCCTCAGGGTACACAAACAGCTTTAGTCAATTGTATAAATCAACTTTTAAATCAAGAACTTTTTGACACTGCAACAAAAATTGCACAAATTGGGGGTGTTTCGTTAGACATGATTCTGATTAGACAGTGGCAATATAAATATAAAAATAACGATCATGTGGATAAAAATTTCTGGGAAAATTGTAGCAAACAGTTTAGTGCCAGTAATATTTGTGCAGACAGAGTGGTTGAATTTTATTTAGAATATGCAGATAATGTTGAGAACTGCTTTGAAAGATATCAACTGCTTAAATTGGCTTATGAGTGGGCAAGAAGCTTTGATCTGCCTACTAAGTATGATATAGAGAAATGGAAATGGATGGCCTATCTTTACCTAGACAAGTCCAAGAGGTTAGATGATACAATATTTGAGGCACAATCTCCCCACTTAACATACAAAGAGATGTTGGAGATGATTACCTCAGTTCCAGGATGTGATGAGGAAATTTCATCAGATTTGTTGAATCTTCTAGAAGAAATGATGAAGCAGGCGTTGACTAGGGGTAATTTTTGGCAGGCGTTTAAACTGGAGAAGATGTTCAAGTGTAAATGTCAAGATTTGAGTATGTTGAAGCTGAGCCATAGTTTGGCAGAAGGTATTGTACTACCATACCAGCTGAATGCGGAGCAGAGACTACTGTTTTCTGCCAATGGGCATTACAGAAGGCTTAGTCACAGGAGAACGTTCTTATCCAATAGGCTGTCCAGTATGAGTTCAGGTAATAATAATTACAGCTATTCCTAATATTATTTAAAATATATGCATGGTGTATTTTTTGTAATGACTAGAGAGTGGACAATGTGTGTCTTTAACCTGAAGAATAGGTCAAATTTTGGTAGAGATGTGTACGCGTTAAAAAATGTATGGTATATAAACTATGCAAAATATAATTATTATGTATAGCAAATATATCGTATTATCCTCGCAAAGATTTGTACCCTTTATTTAAAATCCATAAATCATGTGAACAGGTTAAATAACGAGAAAATAATTAAGTTAATTTAGTTCTAAAGAAATGAAATGACACTCGCGCCCATCTCTAGTCCATCCGTCGACATCGGTTGCGTTTATCGAATTCCTATTGGCCAGAATTCAAACTGCAGCCCTGTTATGAATGGAGCGTGAGTTGGACTATTCTATCATGTGCGTCGCCTGAGGGTATTCGTTACATTGACTCCTAATTTCCAATTAAAAGAACGACACTATTTTTAACCGAACTTTATTTAATAAATATGTAGTATACAATTTCTGATTTTCTAAATATTTTATAACGCCTAAAAATGTATGTACCGTGGAATTTTCGTGAATTATCACGTAAATTTCCGATGCATACTCGACACGACATTGCGTCATGGATAATGTATCTAGGTTTATGAATGACATATCTATGTTCAAGGTTAAAGACACAAATTGTCCGCTCTCTGGTAATGACATACCCTTTGTTACTTTTATACCGTGAGCGGAAAAAGTATGGGATATATTTATTTAATAATCAGATGTTCATTATTTCAAGAATCGCTCGGACCTCTTCAATTATATTTTTAGTTGCGCATTTTCTGAAGCAATTTTCATTTATACAGGGTGGCCCAAAAAAAGTTATGAAATCAAGGCCAACTTTTTTAAATGGAAATCCCACTTTTTGTATTTTTATTCAATTCTCCATGGAATTCTGATCATTTTTTATGTAACATAACCTATACCTATCTTTAACCGTTTTCGAGATAATGGCGTCTGAATATAGAATATGGGAAATTTTAAAAAATTATCCTGAGATTTATCCTGCTGGTTTTAAAATAAAACCAGGTTTACTTTTCCATCTTAGATTTGTGTGGTTCACAGTTACCTCAAATCAAAAAAATCCATAAGAAATAAGTGGTTCGGTGATTTATTTTGATCATTAGTACGCAATGACTTGAATGTAAAAAATATAAGTGAGGTATTTAGGTATAATTTAATTAAGAACGCATAATTTTATTGTATAAAATATGATTTTGCTAAACGTCACTATTTAAATTACGTGCCAGGTTATTTTGCAAATTTTTAGCACCGCTTCATGTTTTTTTGCAAAGAACAAAAAACTTCAAAAACTCTCCAGAAAAACACACATTGTAACAGTCATCAAGCAACTAAATATTAAATAGGTAACATCAAAGTCAGTTAAAACTGATGTACCTTGTTCATTACTACTATTTTTTATTATTTAGGACAGTGCAATTACTTAACTAGATGACACATCTAACAGAAATGTAGCGGATAGAAATTCTAATTTATTTGAAACACGGTGATAAAGCCAGAACACAACAAGAAGTGTGTGATATATTCAATAACAAGTATCCAGATCATCCAATCAATCAGGCCACTGTAAGCAAAATTACCAAGAAATTTCGAAATTCTGGTCACATAACAGATATCCCCAAAACAGGTCGTATGAAAATAGACGAGGACATTAAGTTAAATATTTTATAGCAGTTGCGAGAAAATCTTCATAGCTCAAGCAGAGACATTACTGGGGGAAATGCAATTTCCCAAAGATCAGTTTTGTGTATTTTGAAGAAAGAGAAATATCACCCGTACAAAATTCGTATAGTACAAGAACGAAAATGATCCTGATTGCCGCATCCAATTTTGTGAAACCATTTCAACATTATCCCCACAGTTTCATCGGCAAATCCTTTTCTCAGACAAGGCAACTTTCTGTTTTGAATGATATTGGTAACCGCCAAAACTGCAGGTATTGGAGTCAAAACAATTCTCATTGGATGTCTGAGGCACATACTCAGTACCCACAGAAATTAAATGTCTGGGCAGGCATAATTAATCAGGTTCTTGGCCCTTTTTTCTTCGAAGAAAACCTCACGAGAGAAAGATATTTGGCCTTCCTTCAGTTTGATCTAATTCCCGCCCTCATTCAAATTTTTCCAAAGGCAAACAAACCTGACATGCCAAGCAATACCTTGTATTTTCAACAGGATGGTGCGCCACCTCATTTTGCTCGGTAAGTCCGAGGTTATTTAGACGAATGTTTTCCTGGGTGTTGGATTGGAAGACGGGGACCAATAGAGTGGCCTCTGAGATCACCCGATCTCACTGCTTTGGATTACTTCTTATGGGGTTATTTAAAATCCAAAGTTTATATAAATCCACCGCAAAACATCGAGGATATAAAAGAAACCAATGGATAGCAATTTGAACATTTAATTTAACTCTGTTTGTTTGAATTAGTTTATAATCCTGAATTTTTTGCAATTTTTTTTTACAGTACCTTGAATGATTGTATGATTTGGATATTTGTTATTGAATATTTCACATTATTCTTGATGTGTTCTTCCTTTATCAGTTTGTACCAAACAAATTAAAATTCAGAATTAAATATTTGAAAAACATAAAGTGTATTTAGCAGAAAGTACACCAGTTCCCACTGACTTTGACGTTACAGTCCTTGCGTATCGAGAGTAATTTTTGAAAATTTTCCATATTCTATATTCAGACGCCATTATCTCGAAAACGGTTAAAGATAGGTATGCTTATGTTACATAAAAAATTATCAGAATTCCATGGAGAATTAAATAAAAATACAAAAAAGTGGGGCTTCCATTTAAAAAAGTTGGCCTTGATTTCATAACTTTTTTTTGGGCCACCCTGTATAAATTAAAATTGCTTCAGAAAATGCGCAACTAAAAATATAATTCGACGGGTCCGAGCGATTTTTCAAATAATGAACATCTGATTTTTAAATAAATATATTCCATACTTTTGCAGCTCACGGTATAAGTTGTCCAATTGAAGTTCAATTTGACATCTAGGAAATAAAAGCACATGGTCAATTTGGTTAGAGCAATTGTATTATCATTAGATTTCAACTTTTTTCAGACAATAGTATTCAGCTTATAAGTACCAAATTCCAAAAACTAGTTCTATTGGATTTCAAGTTCGATTTGTAGTTCATTAAAAAGATTTTCTGCATCAGGGGTAATAAGGTAATAGTCCACAGTACAGCCCCTCCCTGGAAAGTTGATTACCACATATTTTATAACTCCTGGGGAGCATCCTTTTGACGAGTCTACCACATTTTTCCTCTGCGACTTTTCTCGATTCCTCCACTTTTCCACTCGGAAAAGTCTAAAAACATGACAATTTCCGGGGGTCTTGAAAAGTCAAGATAACATCTTTTATTTTTAGCTTAAGTAACTGACAATTTTGTTGCAAATGCAAATTTAAATTTGTCCGACAGAAATTCTTCCGACATTGACGTGTCTACCGGCCAAAACATGCCAAAATGACAGGTTATTGAAAATCAATTACCACATAGGTAATTTTTAGTAAAATTAATTGTAAATAATTAATTCAGTCAAAAAGTAGCCGCGTTTTTTAGTCCGACAGCTGGAAATCGGAATTTTCACGGGGTATGATAAATCGATTACCACATGTCGGACAAAAATAACACACGATAGAAAAGTGTTTTTTATAAGCAAAAATTGTAATGTCCGACAAAAATGTATCCGCAAATCGTCAGTCCGACAAAAATGATGGAAAAAATTTCGTAAAAAATGTGCACATGTATTTATAATTTCTAATAAGGTATTTTCATGTATTAAGCAAAATTCCATATAAATATACAATACATGGTGTTTCAGAAAGACCTCCCGTAAATACAGGGGGTGAGGACGACAAAAAATAAGAATTTTTTGTCATATGAACTATATGTCTATCTCCTCTTCTCAAAGCTCAAGCTTACTTTGAGAAAAGTCACTTATTTTATAGTGTAATATTGTAAGAGTTTAATTAAAAGCCTTTTTTCTCGAAAATCGTCCAC